AACCTGTTTTTATACATGGAATTACAATTGCATAACGAAAATTACAGAGTTACTCAGTAAAATAGGAAAACCATATCGTAAACGGTTAATTTGCAAATCTTCAATCCATCATCAATCCATTGTTTGACATTCCACTTATTCATGCGTTTCATACAAATTCCCTTGTGTTCTTCTAACTCTTCCTTTCTTGATCTTCCCCCATCTTCTGCTGCCAGACATTACGTTTACAGTCGCGTCATCAGCGCGCACCACATTTGTAGTACATTATCGTAGTTTTAATATAAACATGTTCTTCTTTTTGAATTTTCAAACACACAACACATGTTGTTACAATGATCAAAAAAAATGTTTTATTTTATTTTGTATTTTGATAGTTAAATGAACAAATGAATGCGAAACACGTTCAATGTCTAACAAATGGTTGCAATTGGATGGGTTTATTAAGCGCCTATCAACACCATGAACATCGACATTACACTCCAGATGAATTGGATTTGTCATTGTCTGACTATATAAAATATCAAATGAATTCCTGTTTGTCCTCATCCTCACCATCATCATCATCAGGAGCAGCAGCATCACTGCAGACAACAGCACACAATCCAATGGTATACAATAAAGGCATGGTTAAAACGGCCAATGGAATGCCATTAAGAAGGCATGGATTACAAGAAATCAGCAATAATCACTTGCTTGATAATAATAATAATAACGACCAAATAAATTTGAATATTGGACAAGTACCGGTTGTATGTGAACCAATTAATAATTTGTCAACAAATCAATCATTATTTGATCATTCAATGCAACGATTGTTAACAATGACCACCACACCAAATAGAATAACACCAGTGTCAAGTATTCGAAATAGGCAAGCACAAAATAGACATCAAAATCAATCAATTTTCAATTCCGACGACAGTAGGAATCAATCAGAAAATATTCATGATTCTATAGAAGCATTAAGAAGAAGTTATTATCTGCCTGCAACTACTACGCATCAATCTCGTATACTTCGACTGCGTGATGAACAACCGCAGTATCAGCAAAGTTTCGCAAATGTTTCAACACATTGTCGTCAAACACGATCGTATGTACCATCATTGACGCAGTCAAGCATAACCATGAATAATAATAGTGATGGACATAGACAAGGAATTACTACTGTTCGCGATTCCAGAACACATATTGGACGATTACCGAATGTCGTAGGGAGACGACAGACAAGAAGAGGTGAACAAGCCGTCCACTCGTTAATTCATGTATCCTCTGGAGAAGTTGACAATCAATTCAGTCTAATTCATGATGCAATCAGTTTACTTACGGTGAATTCCAATTATACGCACAATCCATGTTCAATAGAGGGTAATAATGATCTAAGAGATCATCATATTAATAATGATCATCAACAACATTCTGATCATCGTCAAACAATTCATCTTCCAGCTATGCAATGTGATGATGAAGCACCAATCACTTCTAATTTAGACTCGAGACAGATAAATAATATTAATAATAGTAATTCAAGACAACAGCAAGCAAATCGACCATTTGAATTTCGACGACTGGTACCACCACAAAGACATAGAAGAGTAGTTGAACAATTAAGAGAAACACGTGAACAATTAGCTACACTGCTACGTCGTATGACTATAGAATTGGAAGAAAGACAAAATGCTGCCCTGATGTATAATAACTCGGATAGTAGTAGTAGTAGCAGCAGTAGTAGTAGTGGTACAACTAATCGACTGCCGAGAAATTCAAATAATTTATTCAATGATCAATCAATATCATATGCTCATAATAATACAGTGAATCATGAATTCACAACATATAACAGCAACAATCATCACACCTCTAGTATTCTAAGAAACATTCACACAAGAAGTACATGTGACAATGACAATGTGACACAATGTGACAATAATAATTATACATCTCAATCAATTGACATTATTTCGAATACAATGACTAATACTACTAATCCAAGAGATCTATCACGTCTACTGATTACACCAATTTACAGGGAGCATATGACCACCAATTCTTCCACAGTTTCGAGTTTAAAACAGAATACAACTACTACTGCGACTGCTAGAACCAATAATGAAATTGATTATTATGATAACACATCATCAACTCATATCATATAAATAATCTTATTGTTATCCAGATTAATTTCAACAAATAAGACCCTGTTCTTTTTTTTTGTTTTGATTGAACCTATTTGTGTACACAATCATATCAAAAAAGTTGTTATTCGCTCATATCTGATTTATGATATGAGTGAAATTTTCTCCACTATTATAAAGTTTAATGTGTTGTATATAGCAATGGACTAGTAGTTGCTCAACGAATTTGTTATCATCTATCTTATTCATGAATGTTTCGAGGTGGGGAAATAAACGGAATTCATTGAGAAACTGTTGTCTTTTTAAAAAACATGTTAATTCAGCTTAAAACCAATACGTGATTTACTACACTATGTCATTTCAATAAACCTACTTCTGTTCTCTTCTTTAGTCTTAGGTTTCCTAAATTCACTGATTATCTCCATCTCTGGTTCTTCGTAGGCTTTCTTCAGAGACACTTTCTCACAACATTCCTTCTTACATGAATAAAACGTTTCCTTCCACAATTTTTCATTCAGTAAAATCAAACATACACAATCTTGCCAAGAGTCTGGAATAAGTAAATTCTTTTATGCTTCACAGATTCACAAGAAATTTTTTGTATTTGTTTTCGTTATTGATGACTATTTGGTTTGTTTGTTTTACTGATTGATTACATTTTCCTCTGTTCTGTTTTTACTGTCATATTTATACATTCTAGTTATATTACTTACAAGTAACTAATATTTAATTGAACAATTTTTTTTACATTTACGTGAATGTCACGTTTTGTTTGTTTTATTGATCAGTTTGAATTCAAGTTTCTTATCGAAATTTAGAACTATTCATTCACCTATCTATATACATACATTCGTAAAGAATTTTTCGTTTATGGATTTATGAAAAGTTTTTCAAGTTTTTAAATATATATGAATACCGGAAAAAAAGTATTCAGTTTGATTCCATTTTTTACAAGATATTTTCTTTTTAAGTTACAAGGGAAATTGAAGCAGTTTATACTCGAAAAACGTTCACTAATCAATTCATTTTCAAAAAATACTCTCCATCAGACCAAACATATATATACTTGCTGCTGCTTAGTACTTAGTGCTTAGAATTCTGGATCATTACGAGTATAGTAGATTATTGAGAATGATTAATCGACCCCAACTCACTGACATATATTTCACTGCCTTCTCACTTAAATGCCCAGTTGGTGGAGTTGGCACATAGCCTGATCACAACTGCTACTTAGAAGTGTTGGTCCCGTTTGTTAATCATGATGAACCAACTGAGCTGTATTGGCAAGAACATATGTTCCTTTGGGTCTACCACAACAGGCAGGTTGATTGGACATCGGTAAGACTAAAAGCAGCAGCCTAAGGTCTGAAGGCGAAGTCATACAGCTAATTGTAGGGAGATGTGCCAGCAGTAAGGTGTTTGCCTCGAAAAGCCTGCATCTGCGGCGATGCTGTCTTCTCAGAAGGAAGGAAAAGTCGACTCTAAAAAAGACACATTTCATCTTACCCCACAGATTTCCATCTCATGTCCGGACCTCGTAACGAATAGTAAAACAGGCTTCCTTAGCTAGGACTTTAGAAGTATAATTAACACATCTGCGGACATGCTGACCCCGAATTTCTCGACCGAAGCTGCTACCTTGACGTGGTGGTCGGGCTTGCCTATCGTGATGACCCAACCGAGCTATACTGGCTGGAACATATGTTCCTGCAGGTCCTACCATGCCAGACAGGTCGATTGGAGAACGATGAGACTAAAAGCAGCAACCCAAGGTCTGAGGGCGAAGTCGTACTGCTGACTGCAGAGGGGTGTGACAGCAGTAAGGTGCTTCCCTCGGACAACCAGCATCTGCAGCGATGCTGCCTTCTCACAAGGAAGGAAGGGTTAGAAAAGGTCGGCCCTAAAAATGTCACACCTCCCCTACCTCACGGATTTCCGTCTCCTTGGGTAAGGGTGCCCACTAAGGGCCTTTAAGAACGGAGCTAATCCTCAAACAACGTCTCATAAAAAGGCCGTGCGTGACCGGCCTCAAGCAGTTGTCCCTTGGACTCTGCGGTCACGCACCAACACTAATCCATCTTCCTATTCAGGTTCCTCAAGGAACAAGCTTCCGCGGTGTGGGCAGCCGGGAAGTGACAACCGCCCTCATACCCGTACCAGCACGCGAGACCAGATTGGTCAAAATCAAATCCTTCCTACACCCCCTAATGTCTCTCTTATCTCTACGACTAACTCTACTCACACTCCCTTTTCTCACTGCACCGCTAATGCAGACGAAGCGAGATCACGAAACGTCGTTCCTGGTCTCTTGAAACCCCGTTCTAAACTACATGTTGGAGCTTTTAATGTACGGACCTTGTGTCAAATAGGGCAACAGGCATCATTAGCTAGGACTTTAGAAACTCGTGCCATCGATGTATGCTGCGTCTCGGAAACGCGCATACAGGATCCTAGTAAAGTCATTAACCTGATTCCACATTGTCAAAACGAAGAAGCAGCCCGGTTCACTCTTCGTGTATCAGGTAGCCCTGATGCTGCTTCCCGGGGTCTTGCTGGTGTAGGCATAGCATTGAGTTGTAGAGCTGAACAAGCTCTCCTTGACTGGATCCCAGTAGATAGTCGCTTGTGTGCTGTCCGACTAAACGGGACAGTAAGGACTCGTAAGGATAGGGACACTCGCCGTTGCCTCTTCGTCATATCTGCCTATGCCCCCACTGACTGCAGTCCAGACGAGGTTAAAAACGAGTTTTACAGAAAGCTTTCGGACCTCCTCCAAAAAGCTAGGCGCTCTGATATAGTAATAATGGCTGGTGACTTTAATGCTCAAGTAGGTAGACTAGGTGAAAAGGAAAGACATCTTGGTGGATGTTATGGTGTAGCTACTGAGAAAACAGACAATGGCGACCGTCTGTTGCAACTATGCTCAGATAACCGCCTATTCTTAGCGAACACCAACTTTAGGCATAAGGAAAAGCATCTGTTGACCTGGCGACCGCCGAAGTCGTCTCAACGTTGGACTCAACTAGATCACATCGCCATCAGCCACCGATGGAGGGGTTCGATAGAGGACTGTCGCTCGTTCTGGGGCACATGTCTAGATTCAGATCATGCCCTAGTGCGAGCGCGTATTTGTTTGAAGCTTACTGGACGTAGGAAAGACACCGTAAGAAAGCCTCTTAGGGTTTTACTTAATGATAATCAAACCAAGAAAATATTTCAGGAGCAACTAGAAAGAGAGTTAAGCAACTATGCAAGCGATTCCCATCCAGAAGCAGGTTGGTATGATATCAAAAAGGCTGTGGAAACAGCAGTGATATCTGCTAGCAAGGTAAGCCATAAGGCTAGGATGAAGCAATGGATTTCAGTCGCATCCACCGAACTGATGGATGTTCGAAAAGGCATCCCACCTGACTCTGAACATGATGAAGAGCGTAGTCAACTTAGGCGCAGACTCATAAATAGCCTACGTAACGACCCTGAACAGTGGTGGGTGGCGAAAGCAAAAGCGATGGAAAAGGCAGTGGCGATCGGCAACACTAGACAACTTTTCCACCTTATCAAAGAAACCAGTATTAGTAACCCGAATGTAAGTGAGACTATCTCGGAAAAGGATGGTCTTATTATCCATTCTCAATCCAGGAGACTGGATCGATGGGCAGAACACTTTAGGGATCAGTTCAACTGGCCACGAGCCACTCTTCGGTTACCCACGATCTCCAGCCATCCTGAATGGCAAATCGACCTAAGTCCACCTAGTCTTAATGACGTTGAGAAAGCGTTAGGAAATCTGAAACGAGGACGAGCTGCAGGTCCTGATAGACTGACCCCTGAGATATTTAAAGATGGTGGTCCAGTTTTAGAAGCTAGGTTGACTGAGATCTTAGGTAGAATCTGGGAACTGGACGTAATCCCATCTCACTGGTCTCAATCACTGATTGTCCCAATCTATAAGAAAGGACAAAAGTCTTCTTGTGACAAGCACAGGGGAATAAGTTTAACTAATATTATATCTAAAATATTGGCCTCAATAATACTTCGACGCTTAACGAAAGCTCGTGAAGAGCAGACTCGAGAAAACCAGGCTGGTTTTCGACCTGGACGTGGTTGTATAGACCACATTTTCACACTCAGACAGGTCCTGGAACACAGACACACATTTAGACGTCCTACAATAGTTGTTTTCCTGGACCTTAAGGCGGCATTTGACTCAGTTGATCGTGAGGTTCTGTGGCAGTGTCTTTCATTGAAAGGTGTATCAAAGAAGTACATCAACCTCATACAAGCTCTCTACTCGAACACCACTGGTCGAGTGAGAGCTTATGGCGAACTGTCACCGGAATTCTCTACATCAAGTGGTGTCCGTCAGGGATGTCCACTCTCTCCATTCTTGTTTAGTTTTATCATAGACATGCTCCTAGTCATAACATTATCCTCGTCTGAATTTTCTGGAGTAGACATTCTACCAGGTGGCTCGCTTATTGACTTAGAATATGCCGATGACATTGTCCTACTTGGTGAAGACGCTGACAAAATGCAGAGTCTTCTGACTACCCTAAGCAACAATGCGAGCATGTTCGGGATGCGGTTTTCCCACATCGAAATGCAAAATGTTGCTTCAAGATTGGGTTTCATCGGCACCTGAACTAGTGATAGGGAGTGAAGTAGTCGAACGTGTAGACCGCTTCACTTATCCTGGGAGTGTCATCAGTGCCGATGGCCTGGAGACTGACGAAATCTCAGCTCGGATACAGAAGGCTCGATTAGCTTTTGCCAACCTGCGTCACTTATGGCGTAGGCAAGATATCCGTTTGCTGACTAAAGGACGAGTGTACTGCGCAGTGGTTCGCTCCGTCTTACTTTAAGGCTGTGAAACATGGCCAGTGAGAGTAGAAGATACTCGTCGGTTATTGGTTTTCGATCATAGGTGTCTTCGAAGCATTGCTCGTATATCGTGGGACACCCGAGTGAGCAATGCTGTTATTAGGAAACGAGTACTAGGTAAGGATGGCAGATCAATAGATGAAGTATTGAAACTTCATCAGTTGAGGTGGTTGGGACACGTGTTGCGTATGCCTAACCACCGACTGCCTCGTCAAGCTTTGTTTTGTAGTGTAGGAACATGTTGGAAAAAAGCTAGGGGCGGCCAAACCAAAACATGGCACAAATCCATGAAGTCATTGACTAGTGGACTGAGCCATGTCGGTAACTGTCGACTACCTGGTTGGGGTCCGCGAGATGATAATAATCGATGGTTAGATAGATACCTTGAATGACATGGCTCATAATCGTTCGCAATGGCGCCGGTGCATCTTCTACTCTTTGTGTTCTCTCAAATCCTAATCTTCTGGATTCTTCAACACCTCTAGTTTGGACTCTCTAAACTTTTCTCACTGAATCATACTTCTTGAATAGTATCTTCTAATCCTAACCTCTCTGATTACTTCTAATTCCCTTACTACCTCTTCTACTATTGGATTTGAATTGACGATTACTTCTCTGTGCTGATGTGGTATGGCAACATGAACTTATGTACTTATGTACAAAGTTCAACGTTGCATCTGACTGACTGACTGACCCCAAATTTGACTCAATGCTGATAATTGAAACACAAAGCTAAGAAAAACCAATGGGATTTATTGACATCTACTAATTTAATACATTCTTCGAAATTTATCCCATCTGGCTCTGAACACGATGTGAAGCGGAGCCACCTTAAGCGTAGGCTGGTAAGAAGTCTATGCGATGAACAATGGTGGATAGCGAAAGCAAGAGAGATGGAAATGGAGGCGACAATAGGTAACAATCGACTTATCAAGGAAACCGGAGTTAGAAATCTGACTATTAGTGAGACCATCTTGGAAAACGGTGGGCAGACCGAGGTCTTATCTAGAAACTGGGATCTGGACGTAACCTCACCTGACTGGTCTCAATCGTTAATTAATCCAATCTACAAGAAAGGACAAAACGTATTCCTGTGACAATCACAGAGCAATCAGATTAACTAATGTACTGTCTAAGACTGGCTTCAATAATACTGAGGCATAACTGGAATCCATGAAAAGCAAACTCGGGAAAAGCAGACTGCTTTCACACCTTAATGTGTATCCATAAACCTCATGTCCACAATCCCACAGGTCCTGGAACATAGACACGCGTTCAGACGTCCGATAATAGTTGGATTCATGGACATCAAGGCGGCATTTCACTCTGTCGATCGTTAAATTCTATGGTAGTGTCTGTCATAGAAAGGAGTACATTAACTTTATACTGGCTCTCTACTCGAACACTACAAACCGAGTCAAAGCATACGGTGAACTGTCATCCGAGACGAGTGGTGCTCGTCGGCATCGTCCACTAACTACATTCTTGTTTAACCTCGTCATTAGCTGGCTTTTTGAGACGATACTTTCATCGTCTCACTTCTCAGAGCTTCAACCTCTAACACAAGACTCGCTTGTTGACTCAGAATATGCCGATGATATAGTTCAGTTTGGTGAAGACACTGGCAAAATGCAGAGCATTCTGACCACTCCAAACTACAATGCGAGCACATTAGCGATGCGATTCTCCCCATCCAAATGCAACATGTTGCTTCACAACTGACTTGCATCGATACCTGAACCAGTGATCGTGGATGAAGTGGTTGGGCATGTTGATCGCTTCGCTTATCTTGGCAGTCTCATCAGTCCTGAAGTCACTGACAAGTGGACTGAACCATATTGGTAGGCATAAACTATCTGGTTGGGACTCACGAGACAATAGTAAGTGATGGGTAAGGACTTTGAATGACATGGCTCGAGATCATTTGCAATGGCGCAGGTGCATTCATTCTGTCTTCTCTCATCACCTCATGAATTCAGGATCCGTCTTCATGTCTCCTTAAATTTATTTCATTGAATAATTTCTTCCAACCCTAATCTTCCCGATTACTTCTTCTATTGCCTCTACCACTCTATAGGATTTCAAATGACGATCTGATCACTGTCCTAATGTAGTATGGCAACTGGAACTGATGCACGCATGTACTAAGTTCTACATGGGACTTGACTGACTTACTCATTCACCAAGAGTAATCGATTATCTCAACGTAAATTATTCATCGCTCAAACAAGTAATTCAATTTAACCCCATCTTTGATTACATCCTTATCCAACTGAAATATATAGCTGAAAAATTACAACTAAAATTACCAATCAATGATTGAGGTGTATAAATATGATGTAAATATATATATTTTTTCTCTATCGGAGTTTTAATGATATTTTGTGAAATAAATAAACTCGGATTACAAAATCTCATGTCCACCATAATATATAATATATATACACGGAAAATGTACAAATGGAGAGTTAAGGACAGCGAGAGAGAGAGAAAAAAAGAGAGAATTCTTTGGAAAATTAAAATGCAATTTCCAGAATACCAAAATAAAAATACCTTCCTAAAATATTACTGTTGACTGAAATGTGAAATAACAAAATTCATCATCATCATCATTGTCAGGCAACAACACAACAGCGTTATTTAACTTCGCTGAATATGATTTCTTCAATTTAGATTTACTGAATAGATAAAGTTGTCGACAAATCATTAATTGCTTTCAATAGACGCCTGGAATAATCGACCAAATCAACCGGTTTCACATCTGCTACAACAACACGTAAACGTTCTTCATCCTGTGTGTGTGCAGAACAAGAAAAACGCACAAATAGAAAAATTCGAACAGAAGTTTACGAAAAGTTTCACTTAATCAAAGCATCTACCCAAAAAATACAAGAAAGACTTGGAATCAAAGTGATTTACGCCTTAGTTTTAGTTATATTTGCTGCTCATTAGCTGTGGGTAGTAGAAATCAACAGTAAAACTCTGTATGATCTAGGTTTTTTCTGGTTGATTCGGTGATTTGACTGACAACAAGATATACTTGAAATCTTAACAGACAGACAGACAGACAGACAAACAATTTTGATCCTATAGCGCAAAAACCAACCATACTGCACAACACGATGAAAAGCATCTCATTCAAGTTAGCATTACAGCTTTTATCGATATCTTTTCACGTCCAACTAATCATAATACACTACACTATGCAGTATGTATGGAAAGAAGTAATTTCACACTCTGTTCTTCTCTCCATCCATCCATGCAACGATGGTATAAATGATCATTGAAAATACCACAAGTTGGAAATCGATGAAAATCATTTCAGTTTGTTCATATTTAATTATTTGGTCAAGCCCTTTGGACTAGCTTATTTAACTGAGTTATTTGGTATAGCAACGGTATACCATTGGCTGTTATTATTGTCCGGTTTGTATGAGTAGGTATAACTGAAAAACAACTACGTACATATTGATCTTATTCGCCTTAATGTTAGCCTCTTAAATAATTCCCTATGTAAATTATATGCACATGTTAATCCTATTCATTCATTTGCCAATTCGATAGCTCGCACATTCGCTCGCTTGCTTGCTCGCGCTTCGACACTCGCATATTGATTTTTGCTCGTGGTCTGTGCCCGTGGTTTAGTGATCTATTTGTAGCGTGCCGAATAAATGTATTCAACATTGAGAATTCCTCTTTTGACGCTATTTAGTAATGCTTTACTGGATAAGCAGCATACGAAGTCTAAGAACACATGAAATACTGACCGCCCATAAAACTAGTGAGGCATCGCGGCATCGCTATCACAATAATAAACAACATATTTAAATCAACATGTAAAAAAAAATTGGTGTAAAATGTAACAAGAAAACAATTCATTACATTATAACGATCAACTTTAGCTCGTAAACGAAATATCCATGAGTTGAATGCTGACTCGATAAACACTTTTTCTAACTGTGCTTCATCCTGATGAGAGAGGAAAAAGGGATTAACAACAAATGGAGAGGAAAAGAAAAAACCAATGATGAAATTCTTAAAAACAGTTGACTTTCGAGTTGTAAAATATATTTTTGAAGGAAATTATTCAAAGATATTTATTTGTCAGATAGTGTTCTACATAAATGTAGCAAATCAACTGACACAGTAGTAATATATATACATTCATCAACTAACTAACTGCGGGGATGCCCGGGACATGTTACGTCTGACCATCAGCATCATCTGTCTGTCTAACTATCTATATGAAAGGACAATATTATTTCGTATAAGTTAGGAGGAAGTTAAGAATGGCCAAACCGTAATGTGTGTGGAATTCGCCTAAGAATTCAATGACAAATGGACTGAGCCATAGTGGGTATGAGTGATCGTAGACAATGGCTCGAAGCGTTGGTTGATGCGAATCAGAATTAGCCACAAATGCGCGAATGCATTCACACCTTGTCTTGTTGTATAGATAGATTCATAGAGTCGACATCTTTGACATAATTCTCTCTTCTTTCTATATCTAATCTTTTTCACCTCTTTTCTTTGAGATTTGTCTTGACAAATGGTAAATAATGGGACATAACAATTTGAACCGATAAATATGTATCACGTAGTAAGTAGCGTATAACTGACAAATGTATTTGGTTGTATCTAGCCAATAAGTAGATTTTTTAAATATGGATGTATTTACTATAGATTTCAGTGTACAAACATTCCTTCGAATGAAGCAATAACTCGGGTACTCAGTATTCGGAGTCACTTAGACCGACAGTCATAATGTGCAAACGAATTGATAGAAGTCGGTAAGCAAGCACTAAATGATTAGATAAACATGACTTTAATCACTACTACTCAGTGAGTAATCAACTGTATGTAAGAAAATGACTTTTATAAACTATAAGCCTTAAGTGTGGGCAGGACACCTGACTCCAATTTTTCGACAATTTTGCGACAGTGATAATGAAAAGCCAGATACGGATTCAGTTGGACAAGTTTACGTTCACACAAACATACATGAGGATGAAGAGCAGGAAAACGAAGTGAAGCAAGAAAGCTAAGTCAATCAACGCAATGTAATGAGGCATGCATGACTAGGTATTTATAGTCAAACAAAAATAAGCTGCACATGTGATAAGCGAAGTAAACAATGCACACACAAACACACATCAAATAACAAACAAACAACAATAGACAAGATCAAAAGATATGGCAATCACTCGAGAACAATGGATTAATTCGTCGATCCACCACGAGCTGGGCACAAACCACGTGGGTTCGATAAATGACTACAGAGTGAGTACAAGCCATATTATAATAAGGAATAGCTAAAACAACCAAAAAAATATTTACTTGAGTTGACCTCATAGCGCCCAACTTATCCGCCGTCTGGCCCAGTATAGCTTCTGCAGCGTCTTGGAAACATGTAACCCATAAGTCCCCAGTAACATCAGCAAGTTTCACCTAAAAACAAATTTAAATATTTTGGTTCACTTCCGAATTTTGACTGACGTTTGTCTAAACTGACGACTAGCATTTATCCTACAAAACCCTTTGAAAAAAAACATGCAATTCAGTGTACCGATCAATCAACATATACGTATCATAGTGTAGTGAACGAGAACACAGGTGGGGCAACCGAATTGTATTTAATGAAAATTACAGAGTTACTCAGTAAAGTCGGAAAACCATATCGTAAATCGTTCACTTGCAAAATATCAGTTCATCATATCAAACTGGACTGTTCCTGTTGCAAAACATCAATCCATTGTCACTATTCATGCGTTTCATACAAATTCCATTGTGTTCTAACTCTTCCTTTCTTGATCTTCCGCCATCTTCTGCTGCAACCAGACATTACGTTGACACTCATGTCATATACTACTTATAAGTAGCTCACACCACAATAGGAGGATGAGTCGCATCTGAAGTAGATCAGTAATAACATCTCCGGCGGTAGAATTGCGAGATCAAATCTACCACGGAGTAAGTAGCAGATTTCTCAAGAATGAGGGTATACTCCGATAAAACTTGCCAACTAACTGGTGAGTTAACACATAAAAGAGTATCTGTTTAGTGACTACTACTATTGAATGTACAGACACACGCTTATAGAGATGCCTGAAAATGAAACAACATTATCATTGATTTATGCCTTCTTTTATGGTAAGCAATCTCCACAATGACTAATAAATACATCAAAATACCCGAAACCAAGCATCACTACAAATAGTCAAGCATTTCTAGCACATTGGTCATTATTAACTTCTAATTAACTGATTAAAACAAACTTTAGTTCAGAAAGGTAGCTTTACATTGTCTCAAACTGTTACATTTGCAATCATCTAAGATAAAAATGTCCAGGTGTAGTGAAGGAGAACACAGGTGAGGGCAACCGAATTGTATTTAATGAGAATTACAGAGTTACTCAGTAAAATAGGAAAACCATATCGTAAACGGTTAGTTTGCAAATCTTCAATCCATCATCAATCCATTGTCTGACATTTCACTATTCATGCGTTTCATACAAATTCCATTGTGTTCCCACTCTTCCTTTCTTGATCTTCCCCCATCTTCTACTGCCAGACATTACGTTTTCACTCGCGTCATATACTACTTATAAGTAGCGCGCACCACAGTCGTATAACATAAAATTATACAGTGTATTTAGGAAAAACCATCGCCATGATAAAAGATGAGCTTTACAAATATATAAAAGACCTTTTTAAAAAATATGATGCTGACTGAAAAAAGCAGGTTGTTGCAGGGAGCACCAGTAGGCGTGGGGCTAAACATGACAATTTCTAATTCGGAGCATAAGTTGCATAAGTAAACATACTTACCATAAGAAGCAGACGCCATTTATAATCTGGTGTTTCCCGGGCACATTTTTCACATCGATATAATCCATTGCCTAAATCAACCACTTTTTTATTGCATCCTTCAGTGGAACAAGCTTGATACATGAAATTCTCTTTTTTCATGAATACAACCGTGGCCTATAAATAAGTTGAAAACGAATTACAGATTGTTAGTGGGACATAGATGAATTAAAGCATGACTACGTTGCTACGCGCTGATTGGCTAATTTCCTATCCAATCAGCGCCTGATCGATTCTTGGAGAACAGGGTAGAAAATTCTCGTATTGTTAGCTGCGTGCTGATTGGTTAAATCTAATCCAGTCGATCACGTGAATTTCTATCCAGAAGCTTCTCATGTAAATGCTATAAATAAACTAACGTTGTATCTACTTTTGTCTTCGCCTTGGCCATCACCTTTGGCTTCTTATTTCCATTTAACCTAGCTATTTGGAATATAATCTTTTCCTGTTCAACCGCGTTTTTGATTCTTGGGAACTTGTCCAGTGTATTGCGGTCAGAGAATACTAAGCAATAGGATTTAGCTGGGAATTATCTAAGCAAGCGTTACAACACAGATAAAGGCAAAAATACCAATAGATTTCTAAAAATGAATAGACCATGTGGGAAAAAGTAACTTCAATCACCACAATAAATGACGTTATTTATCAGCATATTAGAATGATAAATACGAATGGTTAAAGAAAATTCACTATCATGATCAAGACATAGCTCGGATAGCGTAGTTGTCAGCCAGTCAGTCAGTCAGTCAGTCAGTCAGTTACAACGTAGAACATCATACATGAGTACACATAAGTTCCGGTTGTCAAACCGCATGATGAGCCAAGAGAAGCAATTGTCGAAGCGGTTGAGGTTGTATAACTAATATTGAGTGATTATAGCATTAAACGGTTTTTCTTTCTAAGAATAGTAATTATTGGAATACATTGAACCAGCTGCAGGTAACTATCCTTAATAGTGGCATTTGACTCTGTAGATCGTGAGGTTCTGTGGCAGTGTCTGTCATTGAAAGGTGTACCAAAGAAGTACATTAACCTCATACAATCTCTCTACTCGAACACTACTGGTCGAGTGAGAGCTTATGGCGAACTGTCATCGGAATTCTTCACTTCAAGTGGTGTCCGTCAGAGATGTCCACTTTCTCCATTCTTGTTTAATTTTATCATAGACATGCCCCTAGATATAACCTTATCCTCGTCTGAATTTTCAGGAGTAGACCTTTCACCAGGAGGCTTGCTTATTGACTTAGAATATGCCGATGACATAGTCCTACTTGCTGAAGACGCTGACAAAATGCAGTCTTCTGACCACCCTAAGCAACAATGCAAGCATGTTCGGGATGCGGTTCTCACCCTCGAAATGCAAAATGTTGCTTCAAGATTGGGTTGCTTCGGCACCTGAACTAGTGATAGGGAGTGAAGTAGTCGAACATGTAGACCGCTTCACTCATCTTGGGAGTGTCATCAGTGCTGATGGCCTGGTGACTGACGAAATCTCGGCACGGATACAGAAGGCTCGATTGGCTTTTGCCAACCTGCGTCACTTATGGCGTAGGCGAGATATCCGTTTGCTGACTAAAGGACGGGTGTACTGCGCAGTGGTTTGCTCCGTCTTACTTTATGGCTGTGAAACATGGCCAGTGAGAGTAGATATTCGTAGGTTACTGGTTTTCGATCATAGGTGTCTTCGAAGCATTGCACGTATATCATGAGACACTCGAGTGAGCAACGCTGCTATTAGGAATCGGGTGCTAGGTAAGAATGGCAGATCAATAGATGAAGTAATGAAACTTCATCAGTTGAGGTAGTTAGGACATGTGTTGCATATGCCCAACCACCAACTGCCTCGTCGAGCTTTGATTTGTAGTGTAGGAATAGGTTGGAAGAAAGCCAGGGGGGCCAAACCAAAACATGGCACAAATCCATGAAGTCATTGACTAGTGGACTGAGCCATGTCGTTAATTGTCGACTACCTGGTTGGGGTCCGAGAGATGACAATAATCGATGGTTAGAGACCTTGAATGACATGGCTCAAAATCGTTCGCAATGGCGCCAGTGCATCCATTCTTTTTGTTCTCTCAAATCCTAATCTTCTGGATTCTTCAACCCCTCTAGTTTCGACTTTCTAAACTTTTCTCACTGAATCATACTTCTTGAATAATATGTTCTAATCCTAACATCTCCGATTACTTTTAATACCTTTACTACCTCTTCTACTATTGGATTTGAATTGACAATTACATCTCTGTGCTGATGTGGTATGGCAACATGAACTGATGTACTTACGCACGAAGTTCTACGTTGCAACTGACTAACTGACTGACTGAGGTAACTGTCCTTAAATAATGACAAATATCACTAATCATTAAATTTAAGCTTTACTGTATATAGTAAAAATAATATACTACCCATGTCATTTGTAAATTGTAATGTACATCAACATAAACTGTAACAAAAAAAATAAGAAATCCACTAACTTTACAAGTAAAATAATCTGCTTTAGTATTAGCTCCCACACCAGATGCTTTTACATCATGCAAAAGATTCCAACCGCCAAGAGCACCAGATGAATTAGATACATTGTCTCCTGCTCCTCCTGAAGATCCAATCATTTCACTGCGGAAGGTTTCAAAGTTAGAATAACGACCTTCATGTTCATACCAGCCTTTTAGTCGTATAGCTTCTGGAATACTTGTAGGACTAATGAGAAGAGATGATGTTGGGCTGACAGATAGCGAGCGACCTGTAAAAAAATATATGTTATTTAAAACATAAACTAGTCAACAGTCCGTATGAGTAAAGCTGTTAACCGACTGTCTTTTAATTCCATAAGACAGACTGGAATGAATTGTTTGTAGTTACGTGGGCCAGTCACTTTCAAAGTTTGAAACACTACCACTACAGACTACCTCCAACCGACTAACATCAAGGTACAGTGTACGTAATGTTGAGTCATTTGTCCTATTGTTCATACTGGAACTTGATCGACAGAATCCGATCAGCAGCATTAGGAATTAGACAAACATGACATCGATCAGTATTCGATGATCAATCAGTCTAAGCTGCTTTAGATTAATAAGTGAAGTACATACTAATAGACAATATTTTAGCGGCAGAAACTTTAAATACGTACTTATCTACTGCACACTGATCTACCAACTAGTATTACTACTTATGCTAGCGATAGCGATGTGATTCCTCTGTGATTTTCGCACGTGCAACATCTTGATTTGTTGGCATCTTGATGAGGTATTCTCTCATCGGTCTAGCAGCTCAACATGTGTGTACAATCCTTAGTGAATCGATCACAATGTGTGATTAATTACAACTACAATCTAATTAAAACAATGTTTACAATCATTTGTTAACAGCGTTATAAATTCGTCCTCAGAAAAAAAACTTACGGCTGGCAGCTAGTTAATGACTACAACTTGGAAAGCTCATGGAACTAAACGGTTACCACATAGTTACGAACTGCTTTCAGGTTGGCCTTTATAACACAAATTAGATATTTAGACGATATACTTACTGTATTACATCACATTTAATTGAGGATCACTAGAAATAGTTGCGAATTATAGCTTATGCTACTGTAAACAAGATTCCCACTATTCGATAGATCACACGGCTTAACAATTCAATAAGACCGAGTAGTGCACAGCAGTAGTGACGGACAAATTGATTAGTATTTTTCCAATCTCGTCGAAATGAATGAGGAGTACAGTTGATAAGATCTTGTCAAACATTAAAATAAAAAATAATTAAGAAACAACAACATACCATTAAAATCAGATATTTTTGCTGCTTTTATAACAATCACAGGATGACTGGCACCATCGAAATTCTCTGCTTCTTCACCCCATAGTGTAAGACGCACTAGACAGTTAGAACTATCCACCAGTCCTAATTCACGTTTACGTAATTCACGTTGAGACGCTTTAGCAGTGATTGTCTGTACTTCACCACATTCATGTACAACCCCAACAATGTCTAAGCGTTAAAAAAAACAATAAAAAGAAAACAATTTATGACATTTTTTATATGATACGAAAAGGATTAGCAAGGTATTATTAGATTAGAAGCTTTTTATATATACACTGACAGCTACAAAAGTACTGTGGTGCGCGCTACTTATAAGTAGTATATGACACGATTGTAAACGTAATGTCTGGCAGCAGAAGATGAGGGAAGATCAAGAAAGGGAGGAAGAGTGGGAACACAATGGAATTTGTATGAAACGCATGAATAGTGAAATGTCAGACAATCGATTGATGATGGATTGAAGATTTGCAAATTAATGGTTACGATACGGTCTTCCTATTTTACTGAGTAACTCCGTAATTTTCGTTAAATACAATTCGGTTGCCCTCACCTGTTTTCTCCTTCACTACAGTACTAGCTCGTATTTTTAATACCCAAATTCGAAGCTTATGAAGAGAGTATTCGAATAACTTCTAATGTGGTATGGCAACATGAACTAATGTACGTACGTATGTATGCAGTTCTACGTTGTTACTGATTGATTGATTGATTGATTGATTGATTGATTGATTCGAATAACTTGTTTGTACATTTATAGATATTGAGTAAAAAGTTTTGAAAGCCTATACCCGAAATGTAACTATAGTAACATAAAGTATCAGACAGACAGATACAACACAGAACTTCGTACATAAGTACATCATTTCAGGTTGCCATACTACGTCAGCACAGAAACGTAACTGTCAGTTCAACTCCAAGAGTGATAGAGATAGTAGAATTATTAGCAGCAATGGAGAAGATAAGGGAGCGAAGATATAATTCGAAAAGTATCATTCAGTGAGATAAATTTAGGAGAAAGAGATTATGAGGAATTCAGGTTAGAATTAGAGAGAACAAAAAGAGTGGATGCACCTGCGCCATTGCAAACGACTTTGAGCCATGTCGTTCAAGGTCTCTAACCATTGGTGACTTTCGTCTCGTGGACCCCAACCAGATAGCCTACATCTACCAACATGACTCAGTCCACTTGTCAGTGACTTCATGGATTTCTGCCATGTTTTGGTCTGGCCACGCCTAACTTACTTCCAACGTACTCCTACACCACAAAACATAGCTCGTCGCGGCAGTCGGTGGTTAAAGTACTAAAATCCTTGTTAGATAATTATTATTATCATTATTATTATTATTATTAGGCATTAAAATGATCACAGGCAGTAAGTAAGTAATCAATGCTTACCGACAAAACATCCAGGCGATTGTGTATCCAATTTTCCAATTGGAATAAAATTGAAATGAGTTTCTGGCAAAGAAGTAGTATCGGCATCTTCACAAGGCAACACTTGACTATCACTATGAAGTGTCATTTCATAATCATTGTTTGTTGTATTGAATTGTTTATTAGCTGCTTTCAAATTTGCTCGACTGACGTAATACACTTTATTTACCTACAGAAATGATAAATAAAAACAAGACAGATGAAAACCAGCCTAAAATTGCTGAACAAACACAGACCTAATGTCAACTTAGTGTAGTTAGTGATTGATCTGTTAAGAATCTGACTTACAGCCAATAAATATCAAGGCTTAAACTCTGATGCTAATCATATCGTTTTGGATGAAGGGTTACCAGTACTAACCACCTCACACATTTACAATCTGATCCAAAGCAAATTACACGAATCCTGTACCTGGTGAATGAGCTGAATAAATACTAATAGTAACCATTTTCTGGATACTCTCTCTCTCTAAATGTGCCACATCATAGTGAGAATTATCACAATGCCAGTTCAACATTTCCGAATAAAGAGGTAGTAGTAGTAATAATAATGATGTTTTTTCTACGTCTTATCGTTAAAAGCAGGATTCATCCATATAAAAATTACAAACAGAGGTTAGGTGTTCACGTGCTAGAATGAAGATCCCGGGTTCAAATTCTGCGCGTAGCCAGAGTCATGGATGCGCTCTGCTGATGAGTCCCACGCATACTAGGACGAAACGGCCGTCCAGTGCTTCCAGGTTTTAAATGGTGGTCTAACAATGATTCATTCATGATTTCAAGGTAAAACCTACGATCTCCATAATACTCTGATGCAAAATAGAAGTATATAATCTGAATAAAAAGGTATTCGAACTTATCTACAGATGACCTCGATAAATTATAACAGTTATCTGAACATCAAATATGGATTTCATGCAAAGGAATTAACCTCAATAGCACTATCTCGATAGTATGAAAACTCGCAGTTATTCGACTTCTAACTGAAAGACGAGAGAGTGAAATTGAGAGTAATGAGTGGGTTCCGTCTAGAAATAAAAGTGTGCTATTTATATTTTCTTTAATTAATAAACTATATACGCATTACTACTTGGCGACAACAATTGAATCTGACGATTAAAAGCCTTGTAAGTAATAAGTTCTGCTTTCAGAAATTTTTTTAATACATTCTTCAGTGAGGGAGTTTTATTCATTAAAACCAAACAAGAACTATTTCAGTCAGTCAACAACAACATAACACTTCGTAAGTACGTACGTACATCAGTTCAAGCTGTCATACCACATTAGCACAGAGATGCAATTATTACTTCAAATCACCTAATAGTAGAGGTAGTAAAAGTATTAGCAGCAATCGAAAATTTTTTTTAGGGTTCGACAATATTATTCAAGAAGTAGAACTAACTGGGAGTTGCTATCCGAACTGAAACCAAATAAAGACGTCGATTACTAACGTCAATATAGCCATCTCATCTTTTTTTCTGTTTATTAAGTCAACGTTAGAAACGAATCAACTGAGTGGAGATTTAGACATTTATTCGAATGATGAACAAACTACTTACCTCAATCGTATCATAAAATTTGTCTACTTCAGCATTAAACGCTGTAACCCGGATCTCACCGCTTTCATCAACTAGTGTAAAGTTGAACAACTTCCCATCACGACCTTGTTTGCTCCAAGTACGGATGGCAGATTTCTGTGATACACGAGCACGTATACTCCATCTATTCTGATATGGATTGAGGCTTTGTATAGGAAATATACGTGGGAGACCAGAGCCTGGTGTTCCAGGGGTATTTGGCTGACCACCAGAGAATGGACCACTAGAAGACTTGGGTGGAGTTTTTTGTTCGTTTTCTAACGAATGAGAAGTGGTTGTGGCAGGTTTGGCTATTTCAGATGTTGGTTCGGACTTCAAACCACCTGATTATACAGAAGTAATATATATTTTTTAAACCTATCGCAAAAACCAAAGAAATTTCAAACTAACTGGACAAAATTCCAGCTAAGAATACTCATTGTCAAAAGCATATCAAATATATGACAATTTTGACCGATATATCTCTCCACAGACCACAATGTAACCATATTTTATAGCACTTTGGAGTTGTTGGTGGGACATAAATGGAATAAAGCATGACTGCATTAGCTGCGCGCTGACTGGCTAATTCCTATTCAATCAGCGCCTGATCGATGCTTGGAGATCGATACTCGTGTTGTTAGCTGCACGTTGATTGGCTATATCTAATCGATCAGCGCTAGTCGATCACGTGGATTATATTCCAGAAGCTTCTCGTGTAAGAACTATAAAGATACTAAGGTTGTTTTCTACCTCGCCTTCGCCTTCTTACTTTCATTTAACCTTGCTATTCGCAATATAATAAATCTTTCCTGTTAAAAAGTGTTCTGATTTGGAGACTTGTCGAGTGTATTGTCGTCAGAGAATACTAAGCAATAGGAATAGATGGGATTTATGAAGAGAGCTTTATAACAGGTGTTTTTACCTGATGAGTAAAAAACATCTTGATCACTTCAAGCCACCGATGCAAACTATTCGAGTACACGAATCGTTATTCCTGGTCTCCTGAAACCCCGATCTAAACTACATGTTGAAGTTTTAGGAGTTCGGACCTTGTGCTAAATAGAACAGGCTTCCTTAGCAAGAACGTTATAATCTCGTGCCATAGATGTATGCTGCGCCCTCGAAACGCGCATACAGGACCCGAGCATAATCGTTTATTAGACCTCACTGTCACCGATGGAGACTTGATGGAGGACTGTCGCTTATTCTGGAGAACGTGTTCAGATCAAAATCATGCTCTACTACGAACGCATATTTATTTGCGTCTTACCAGACGTAGGGAACACACTGTAAGTAAGCCACACAGTCCTACTTAACCATAGCAAAGCCAAGAGTATATTTCGGGTACAACTGGAAAAATTTAGGCAGCCATGTAAGTGACCCCCACGCCAAGGCAACTTAGAAAAATTCTCATAAAGATGTGGAAACAGCAGAGATATCTACTACTAAGATTAGGGGGAAGCGATGGATATCAATAACATCTGCTGTACCGATAGATTCTCGAGAACATCCCGCCTGGTTCTGAACATGATGCAGAGATTAACAAGCTTACGCACTGGTTGATAAGAAACCTAGGCAAGGTTTGCGAACAGTGGTGGGTAGTGAAAGAAAGAGATGGAAAAAGGAGTGGCAAAAGATAACAGTGGACAGCTATTATGACTTATCGAAGAAACCGGCACTAGAAGTACGACTATTAGTGAGACTATCTAGTAAAACGATATCTTGTTTAACTTCGTCATTGGTTTGCTTTTAGAGACGACACTTTCATCGTCTCAGTTCTCAGAGATGATCATTTAACACGAGACTCGCTCGTTGACTCAGAATATAACGATGCAGAGCATTCCGACCACTCCAGTTCCGACCACTTCACCAGTTGAGGTGGCTGAGACACATTATGAACACCCAACCACCGACTTCCCCGGCGAGCGATGATGCCTGGTGTAAGGGTATGCTGGAGAAAAGCTAGGGGGCAGCCAGACTAAAACATGGCACAAATACATGAAGTTACTGACAAGTAGACTGACACATGTCGGTAGGTATCAACTATCTGGTTGGGGTCAGTCACAGAACGTATTTCTTGACGATCCACACGCCTAATTACACTAACCCACATTCGATGAAATGTATGCCGTTCCCGAACATCTGAAAAAACTGCTCTGGAAACCAAGCGCGTCAAAACACTGTCGATGAGGATCTTAGAGGGCAAACTAACCCCGATAGATACATATGTGCTCAGTTATTCTGAAAAGTACTTCTGTGACAGTTGAACTGATTACGATAGTCACGCATAACACATTGGCACGAATGTGCACTGGAGCAAAACAACACATTACGCAAGGATAAGTAAAATAAATGACGCATTGAATTTATAACTGCGGAGATAGAGGACAATGTATGGTGACCAAACTTCTAAAATAGAGGAAGTTTAACAGTAAGTGTGAAGCAATACTGAAATTCGAAATCTATAGAATGAATACATCTAAGCCATGGCTACCGATTTAGTCTGATTAGACATGGCCTCCAAACGCTAGTTGAATTATTTTTATGACCCGACTGGACGGTTTCCAATACTTAATACGTTTCCGACTAAGGCCTGCATTAATGTCTGGTTCGATTCAGACACTTGCCGAACGCCTGAATCTTAATGAATCCAGAGGCTGACTGACTCATGCTAACTATTCCAACACCGCAAGACTGTTTTCCAAACTATTTTAATAGGTGAACTATACGTAGGAGTGGTATGTCAGAGGTACGCCAATTATAGATAAATAAAAACATGTGGCATATGTACTAAGGCATAATATCAACTCACCCGATGAGTCATCTGTTCCAAGTATATCAAGATCCAAAACGATAAGAACAACTCTAGAAATTATTTACTTTTACAGAACGAATATACTTGTTATTCTGAATGTTATTACAGACATGTTTTCTAACGCGAATTACAGTATTGTTAACCAATTTATTTTCATCAATCAAGTGGTTTAACTGTGTGGCAAGCATAGCGACTATAGGCATTGGTTATAAATTCAAAACCTACATGAATGAGTCTTTACGCCATCGGTGAGCAGTAATCTATAACGATTTTGTCCACTGCCACCACCTGGGACACTTTTAAACCCCTGACATACTATTACAATAATTATTATGAGCTACCAATAGTTTGAGAACCGGCTCTTCGACATTCTTGCCGCTATTTATTGCCTACAAGAGTATAAACAGTTAGGTTAACACTTACATCGATCGCCCCAACTGTCAAGTTGAACATCTTTGAATTCAATTGAGAACGTTCAAGTTTAAATACTCAAACAAAACAACTCCAACATCCAATAAATCTTGAACATCATCTCATATTATTCACTTGACAGAATATACTGTATCAAGTTATTTTAACACTTATGATGTAGAGAACTACCCTCAGTCCCGTGGAAACTATTTCAGAACCAGTCACCACGCTGTTCAGCTATCAATATATTCAATATCTTTTTCACGAACTAGTATAGACCGATTGATTTCCTTGCCCTTGGTTCTTGTTCTTTCGGTACGGTTCCAGGTGTTCTGTAGTGTCCAACGAATGGGTGTCTCGGCACTCGACTATCTAATTCTAGTCAGTTGGCAGTTGTTTGTGAGTTTGTATGTCCCGTGATTTGAATAATGTCACTTTTTCAGACTCAACTCGCTAAGGATTGGAAAGATTCAATGGTTAGCCATATATATTTAAGTACGGTAAGAGACAAAACATGAATATATGTCAAAATGTGAGTCTAACCAGCATAGTAATTAATTTACTTGAGAAAATATTCTGTACTAAGTTACCAAGTCGTATGGCCGAAGGCAGAGCATGAGAGTAAACTGGACACTTTGAACTGTAACCGGTCAAAAGTTGTGTAATGCAATGCAATGTCTTGGGTCCCTTATTGTTTCTTCTCTATGTCAGTTAACTGTCGAGGCTGTTTGATTCGTCAACACTGTTATACCAAAATTTGGAGAGCATTGAGTATTGAGGATCATCGAAGATGCAACCACTTAGCAATATATTGTCGATAGCACATCACCACGAGGAGAAAAAGGACTCGAGAGTAATGGTGAGGCATGACTTCAAAACAACTGCACATTTTCATGTTGAAGTCGCCAAGTTTTTCGAGTGCTGTGGTCACCTCGCCACACCTATATGAGACCGCGCCTAGAGTATTAAAACCAAGCAGCTGGACCATGTCTGACCAATGATTCAGTAGCACATGAACGTTTTCAGCAAGTGCTAACTGAGTTTGTGAGACGTTTCTCCAAAATCTCTTACGATGAGCGCTAAAAATAACATGACCTTTTCCCCTTATCCCATCGAATCGCGCAGTATGATCTTATTTCTGCATTCGGTATCTCTAATAACGATTGAGGTACTAATATGTCTTGTATTTTCACCCGTTTCAGAACTAACTTGTGAGGACACTGACGGAAGGTCCAAAAACCGCGAACAAAAAATTCAGAGTGAGATTCCGCTTATCAAATCGAGTGGTAAATGACTAGAACGGCTTACCCGAACAAGTGGTTTCAGCCCCATCAATGATCACTCTCAAGGAAAAGCTGCATCTTCAATAGAAAATAATCCGCAAGAGTTGTCACAGTTCGACCCGCCAACCGGCCCTATCACCGAAACCGCCCTAAGACAATAGTAACAATGTCTCGTTTTGTTTATTTCCTACTATCTGGACCCTCCGCACTGGGGTGAACTCTGTCTACTCAATAGCCATTGGCTTCCCGTTCACTACGGCAGTCTAACAATTAATTCCTTAAGTTTTAGAAGAACAGGCGCTATCGGTCCCTTTGAAAGCTTGAGCACTGCATCTACTCATAACATAAAAGTAGAAATCACATAGAGTCGGCCGTCAACTATCTCGGCTGCCACCTTGCAAGGAAGGCTGTCTGCAGATAACCATTTCCAACCTCTTCTTTTGTTGGTAACAAGCAGAGTGGGCGAAGACAATACAATCGTGGGTATAGCACCAGAAAGGGGTGGCATATGTTCAGAAAACGTACAGGACGAGATTTGTATCGCTGCTTCCCCAATTAGTAGGTCAGGATCATCCGCTTGCAGGGCCTCGAATCACTGAACGCACAGATTCTTATTTCAAGCCACCATCGCTTATTGAGGCATCGATAAACCAAGTGGCCTAGTCGTTCGGCAGGCCCAGCTATTTACTGACCTTTTGTCTAATTTGTATATCGACCGAACTGAGCTCTGTCTTCTTCATAAAGCCGAACTGAACCGCCTAATGGAATTCAGAAACTGAATTCACCCCCTAAGTGATAATCCATTGTATGGGGTTAACAGGGCTTCATCGGTTTCAGTTAAATATTTCCTTAAGTCTTCCAGCACTGATTGACTAGCTTTCCGGTAATGGATGCACCAGATGTAGTGAATGAGAACACAGGTGGGGCAACCGAATTGTATTTACGAAAATTACAGAGTTACTCAGTAAAGTCGGAAAACCATATCGTAAATCGTTCATTTGCGAAATATCAGTTCATCATTTCGAACTGGACTGTTCCTGTTGCAAAACATCAATCCATTGTCACTATTCACGCGTTTCATACAAATTCCATTGTGTTCTAACTCTTCCTTTCTTGATCTTCCCCCATCTTCGGCTACCAGACATTACGTTGACGCTCACGTCATATACTATTTATAAGTAGCTCGCACCACACAGATACTGAAACACATGAATCGGTCAGTAGCGTCTGAACAGTTCAACTCTTCCCTCGAAACATTGTATGTTTATGGGACTTTTTCTAGGTTTTCGGATTCGCCACTCAAATTCACTGTAAGGGAAGTGGATTTGGCAGTGGTAATGTTAAGAACAACTTGCCCATAGGCTGACGCAATATATTTGAACTTATTTCAAATCCCTGCAGTGCTCTCTGCGAAAAGCGCTGGATCCTCACAAATAACAAGGCGCCTACTCTTTCGTCGAAAATATTGGTCCCGTGATTGTCATTATTCTCTCGAGTGACCTCATTTATACACGAAGTGACTGGAAGCGGTGAAAGTAGGTCTTCCTGTCGAACTTCTTTGACCCCATGTAAGGTCTCGCTTAAGATTGTCGACTTCGATGGCATAACATTTTGAGATATAATTTACCAGATGTATGACTGGGCGACATAGGTTAGACTAGCGTGAGAAATAGAAGAGAACGTGAGTTGTGAAACTCAGATTTTAGACACACTCTCACAATCATTGTTCAGAGACTCTTATGGGAATGCTAGATCCCCAAAAATCGCCTGCTAATCTCATTAACTTTACAACTTATTTTCAGAAATGTCAATTTCTCATTTTTGCGCCATTCTTCATGGTGACTTTGGATGTCTTGTTCCAGTTAGCTGAACTTGGCCTCAGAAAATAGCTAAGTTGTTCCGGCAATTCACGGTGATTCACGCAAGACTTAGGCGTTCTGGCACCTGCTATATGGCAAAAATAACTTTAAGTGTTGCCATAAAAGAGGAGATGTGGCGTTTATTTGTCTGCTACGATGTTAGACCTCCAAGTCCCGGAGCGGTCTTGCCTATGCTTTCAGAGCTATTCAGACATCATTTCTGGTTACCGAACGGACGATCTTCTTTTTTCTGCCCGTGATTTAGGCAGCTGCGAACGGGAAAATACACAGTGCACACCTTTTCTTAGGTTATGATTGATTAAGTCTTGTATAGCTTTCAAGTTAGCTCTTCTAATCGCCTTTCTGCACGTCATCGAGTGTCCCGTTGAGTGGTCTCAAAAACTTGGTTTCCTCTTAGCATGTGGGAAGGAATCCATCTCATATTTATTAAGTTGATCCTTCCCTCGTCCGGTGCTCATCCTTGACATTTGCACAGCATATTGCACACCATATTTAGTCGGTTATCTTGGTAGAAGAGCGATCACAGCATAAGTTGATAAAATAAGTCGAAGGAGTAGAAGGCTTATATAAGCAGCCCCAGTATCAATGATTAGTTGCCTAATCAAACAAAAAGAGCCCTCGGCAAACAAATTGTTCTGCTCCACAAACATGGGTGTATTGAAGTCTTTGCCTTCATCATCAATGTTTGTAGGCTAGTAAATCCACTCTCCCTCCTTCTGTGTTGCTAGGACCATTTAAAGTGAGCGTAAGGTAATATTTCATGTCCTACTCTATATTTCGCCTAGGCAACAATGCAGTACCGAAAACCGCAATGGTGAAAAGTGAGAGTTTTGATACAGACTATCAGTATTTCGGATTTAGCAACAAAAACCTGTTAGATAAAGTAGGGGAAATGTTAAGATATTCATTCAATATCCTAAGAGAATTATTGGTCAATTTCTTTTGGTTAGTTCCTACTGGTCAATTTTACGGTCGTCCCAGATATCAATGTCACGTTCTCCAATGTTGTTTCTTATTGGTTGTCCTGACTATCAATGTCACTTCAAATGTTGCTTCCTACTGATCGTCTTAACTGTCAATATCACAGACTTCGATCCCTAGCACGGGATCCCGATTCTCTTCTGGACTCGGACCTCGTACTTTCTGGATGCTTGTAGAATACAGGTTCTACTTCAGATCAAGTCTTCTTATTTTTACTTAATATGGGGGTTGGGATAATCGGATTAAATAGCATGTCGTGTCACCGGATCCTCGATCCTCGCTCTTGTTTTTCAACTAGGTAAACTCGTAATATTTCAAGCATATCAAAATGACGCGTTTACGTGCAGGCGTAACACAAATTAATTACGTTCTCTTCTTCAAGCGTTATCCTGTCGCAAACAAGATACAGGGAAGTAGAGATAGTCCAGATGGAAGACTATGTTTGCTGGCGATTTTGTGGTACCAAAAGAATACCTAAATCGTGCCAAAAGAATGGCCGAAGGTACAGGGCGAGTGTAAACTGTTTGTACAGAAGTGCGAATAAATAAGAAGTTCAGTAAAACAATCACTGGTATCAATGGTTATAATAATGAATGTTTCTTCGTAAAGGTGGAGTCACTATATAGGTTATCTGGAAGAGAAAATAACAAGAGAAAAAGGTGAGCTGACGGCTCAGGAAGCACATAAAATGAACCTACATTTATCATAAAAATCAGTAGATTGCAACCAGAAGTTAAGCCAACATGCGATCAAAGCAAACTGATAATCAAGACTATAAGTTGTTAGAGTAGGGTTTCGAATGCATGACAATATCATAACCTTAAACTATCCAGCTTGAACTTGAATCTAACATATTATCGTCCTTGTTTCTTCTTTCATTCTTGCACTTCAGTCCTCTCATATAATCTGTAGTATAAATCATTTAATATAATTATTTACTTAGTTTGTCTGAAATTCATCGCCTTAGCATTAGAATTCCCTCTGTACTGTTCTCCACACTGAACTTTACTGATCTGCAACCTGGCAATATGATACTTGCACCCAGAAACCCTACTACTCCGTTCAAAACCCACTCAATCGAATTACAAGGCATACAAATCTATAAATTACTGCTAAGTGACGGAATTAGTGCGGTCCAGTGGCTAGACTTTTATTCATTGGACAGTATCAAATACCTGAAACTTCCCCTCAGCCAAGGTGAACACAGCCTTTAAGAAGAGACTTCATAAACACGTACTCACATCCGGATTATCATCTCCCCTGTGGAGAAGCTGTACACGATAGTTGCCTTGAGACTTGCTAGTCGTTATGATTTATTTTCTCAAATCACTAACTTAATCTATCTGACTTAATCTGTTTCCTTTCCCTTGCTTACAGTTCCCCTCTCACAATTTTCACTACCAATTAATAAACTAAATTATCATTATTTATTTAGTCCCGAAATCTTACCCTTATTAGCATTAAGAGTTTCTCCTTATTATTCTCCACATTTCAACTAAGTGATCCCTGGTCTGGTAAAGTGATAGCTGCTAGTATCCAGAAACCCTACTGCCCTGAAATAAACATTTCCATTCAAATCCCGATACATACAAACTCACAACCAACTGCCAACTGAATAGAATTAGACAGTCGAGTTGCTACACACCCATTCATTGGACACTACAGAACACCTGGAACCGTACCGAAAGAACAAGGACCAAGGGCAAGGAAATCATCTCCCTCTTGGACAAGCTGTTCCTGATGCATATCTTGAGACCTGCTAGTTGTTACCATTGCCATCTCCTCAGATCACTTAATTAATTTAACTCGCCTATTCCTCTCCCTTGCTTACACTTCGGTCCTCTCTCACAATCTTCACTACCAATTAATAAACTAAATTCATTTATATATTACTCAGTTCTGAAATTTTACTCATATTATCATTTTAATTTACCCTTATTACCCTTATTACTCTCCACATTGCAACTAACTGATCTCCGGTTTGGTAATGTGACGGCTGCTAGTATCCAGAAACCCTACTGCCCTGAAACAAACGTTTCATTCAAATCCCGAAACATGCAAACTCACAACCGACTGCCAACTGACTAGAATTAGACAGTCCAGTGGCTATACCTCCATCCATTGGACATTACCGAACACCTGGAACCGTACCGAAAGAACAAGAATCGAGCGCGAAGAAATCAAATTGGTTTACACTAGCTCGTGAAAAAGATATTGGATATTGCATATTGGAATCGGTCTATACTAGTTCGTGAAAACGATATTGGATATTGAGGAAGAAACGAGGGCAAAAATCGGTTGGTTTAGACTAGTGAAAAAGATATTGGATATTTAAATTGCTGCGTCACTTTAGCAGCCGTTAATGTCACATTGGAGGGTTTTGGTATGTATTCTATTTCTCTAAGTTATTCGGATTAGCAATGGAGAGCATTTTCAAAGGAATGGCTGGTGTATGATGCATTCATGCAATGTCCTATGCTTTCGGCTGAAAGAATAGCAAAGTATTTGGCCGGAAAGCATATACGATACTATGACCCCGGTGGTATGTTCATGCCGTATTTTTATTTCAAGGTGACTTTGGAAGTCATGTTATTGTGGTTAATTCTAGATACATCGCTGCAAAAGATAATAGCCGATATTGGAAACGGTTTTTATATACTACACATACAAGGTTCGGACTTTTTGATGCAGTTCTCACTTTAGGTTCCCTGTGTACCGTGTTGAAGAAACAATGGAGGAAGTTCACCGGCGCGACCCTACTGAGGTAAGTAGATGATTGTGGACTTACAAGTAGTTTGCATTTGTGCACGCTAAATGACACATTCAGTATATCAGATGTTTTGTACAGGTTATGATTTCGATCACTATCCAGCTTCACTGAGTTCCATCATACTTAATTGTCAATGTTAAACGTAGATGAAAAAATGAGTACGAACACTTTAGATTCCTAGTACTGTTGAGATCCAGTGTTTCGTAAAAGTTGTCAAGTACGTAAGTGTTATGTGACTGGTGATTTTTTTATATAAAGTTCAGCGAGGTTTTTCCCTCATTGTGGTTTTAAAACTGGTGTGGGGTACCCGTTTTATATTACTCAGATTAGATTTCTGGCTTTCCAATTACGCAATTATTGATAGTAAAACTTTCCCACTGCCTTATAAAAGAGTGATTTGGATCATGGGAACTAAATGTACCGTAATTTCATTCGGCTTTCACCGGTTACCTTGCAAGCCCACACCTAACCAGATGGCCTTCAACGCCCACTTTCACTCGTTAATTAACTACGTATTGTTTCCTCGTTATATGCCGCAAAATATTGGTAGGAAAATCATGTGTACAAATTGTAAGGTTGTTATAAGCTTAGTTTCTAGAAATTTTTCATATTTAGTGTCAGTGATATCTATTAATTGTAACAACCACAGTATTTGCAATCTTATTGTTAACGCTAAAGTAGCAGTACTATTTACCATAACCTGACAAACAAACATTTTTTAAGGTTTGGAACTTTTAAATTCAGTCCTTTTCGTCCTCATATACGTACATTTGTGATGAGGAGTCAACAATCGTAACCGTTGGAGTTTCATAAGGGAGTCCTGAAAAACTATTACTATTTCTGTTTGCCATTCACCTATAAAATTCCTACTGGCGACGTAATCTGATACTCTAAATTGTGCTATCTCAAATGATCAGGAGGACTTCGTGCCGAAATTCTGGTCTTATTAAGATTACCATATTATGCTAAGCAAACATTTTATCCCTCTGTATTTAATAGAAACTAGCGATTGGCCCCTATTCTATTATTATTATTATTATTATTATTATTATTATTATTTTATTATTATTATTATATTATTGTTAAAAAAATAAATCATTACGCGTATTTTTATCCCGTAAGTTGCTTTATAGGTTGGAAAAACCTGAGATACATGACGTAGTGGGACCATCGTTAGCAGGTTTTCCTAAATTGGTTGATAACGCTTATAGCTTCAAAACAGCGCACAAAACATAATCAATGCGGTACAAGGCCTAATTAATCACACTAGCTTCTAAGTCTCTACTAACGGTTGGTCTAGTCAGTTTGTCG